ATAGCCGAACTTTTTGTCCGGTCACTGGACACCACTGGGAAGATCCTGGCTCCGTCATCTTCCCCATGGGGAGACCTCCCTGCGCCTTCTCTCCTCCCCAACTCCCTCAGCCTTTCTTCCTTGGAGAGATGCTCCAGTCCCTTCATCCTCTTCGTGGTCTTTCATCGGAGTTTCTCCAGTTTGTCCGTGTCTCTCAGGGACTGGGGAGCCCAGCACTGGCCCCAGCACTCCTCGTATGGCCTCACCAGCGCCGAGAAGAGGTGAAGGGTCCCCTCCCTCCACCTGCTTTGCCTGATGAAGCTCAGGATGCCCTCAGCCTTCTCTGCAGCAACGGTCAACCCAGTTGGCGTGGTTTAGGCACGTGTGGTTTAGTCGCGTCCTCAACCCAGGACACTGGTGTCCACCAGCACCCCCAGGTCCTCTTCTGCCGAGGTGCTTTCCAGTTGGGCGGCCAACTGGAAACTACAACTACATGGGGTTGTTCTCCCCCGGAGCAGGACTTTGCACCTCTCGTTGAATCATAGAATCGTCCCGCTTGGAAAAGACCTTTAAGGTCATCAAGTCCAACCATCAACCTGGCACTGCCCAGCCCACCACTAACCCGTGTCCCTCAGCACCACGTCTGCCCCTCTGTTAAACACCCCCAGGGATGGCGACTCCAGCCCTGCCCTGGGCAGCCTGTGCCAGTGCTGGACAACCCTTCGGGTGAGGACATTTCTCCTCATCTCCATCCTAACCCTCCCCTAGTGCAACTTGAGGCCGTTCCCTCTCGTCCCATCGCCTGTTCCTGAGGAGCAGAGACCACCCCCCCCTCGCTGCCCCCTCCTTTCAGGGAGCTGAGAAGGTCTGAGGAGCTTTCAGAGAGCGAGAAGGTCTCCCCTCAGCCTCCTCTTCTCCAGGCTGAGCACCCCCAGGGCCCTCGGCCGCTCCTCACCAGACGTGTGCTCTAAACCTCGTGAGGTTCCCCTCCGACCACTTCTCCATCCTCTCCAGGTCCCTCGGGACGGCAGCAGGACCCTCTGGCACCTCCAGCACTTCCAGCCCTGTGTCACCAGCAGCGTTCCAGCAGGTCCACCCCAACCTCAGCAGTGACTTTGTCCCCAGCTGCCCCGGTGCCGAGGAGGTCGTGCGGTGCTGAGCAGGTTGGCGGATCTTGGAGGAACCTGGAGGACCAGTTACACCCTGGGAATGGTTGTACTGGATCAGACGGAAGCTAGCTCAGCAGATCTGCTCTTCTCAGGCTCAGTGTTATTCGGTTCGGTGGCCGCTCTCGCCCGGGTGTGGAGGGAGAAGCTTTTATCCCCTTGAAGGCAGGAGAGAAGAGCAGCCCACAGCTCTGCTGGTGGCCCCAGCCGTGGAGGTGGCATGTCCCAGTCCCTCCTGGTGCACCCTGGCCAGCAGTGATGCCCAAATCCCCTTGGTGTGGACCCAGATGCTCAAGAACCATTTGAGGTACCTCTGGCTCTCCTCTTTCTGCGGCTCCTGTCTGTGCCTCAGTTTCCCCATGTGGGGCAAGATGGGGGGGCTCAGGCTTGTCCCCCCCGTGTCACACAGCGGGTCGCAACTGCTTGCAATCGTCGGACACTTGGTGGAGGTTGCACGGAGCAGAGGGAGGTCTCCAGCCTGGGCTGAGGCTGCAGAGATGCTGCCGTGGGCAGGAGGAGG